GATTACAGGTGGGAACCACCGCACCAGACCTAATTACAGGAATATTTTAAGTTTCTTACTGACAGGACATTTCTTCAGCCTGGAACCCTTGTCTAGAATTTCCAAATCTTGTTATTTCTTTGTTGGTATGCAGGAAAGAATAAAAATAAGTATTTCTTTTCTTTTTTTTTTTTTTGGAGACGGAGTCTTACTATGTCACTCAGGCTAGAGTGCAGTGGAACGATCTCAGCTCACTGCAACGTCCACCTCCCCCGCACAAGCAATTCTCCTTTCTCAGCCTCCCAAGCAGCTGGGATTACAGGCATCCACCACCATGCCCGACTAATTTTTGTATTTTTAGTAGAGACGGGATTTCACCACGTTGGCCAGGCTGGTCTCCAACTCCTGACCTCGTGATCCGCCTGCCTCGGCCTCCCAAAGTGCTGGAATTATAGGTGTGAGCCACTGTGTCTGGTCAAAAATAAGTATTTCTAAATTAATTATTCTGTCAAACATTCATGAGGGGCCCTAGAATACTGGAAATGAAAGCAAATGGGCAGGAAAGTCAAGACTCAGGTGCATGTGCCCCATTTTCCTTTTCTCACTTCAACTCCTCTCTTGAAATTCTGTGTTGGGATAATGGGCCTTTTTTTTTTTTTTTTTTTTTTTTTTTTGAGACGGAGTCTCGCTCTGTCGCCCAGGCTGGAGTGCAGTGGCGCGATCTCAGCTCACTGCAAGCTCCGCCTCCCGGGTTCACGCCATTCTCCTGCCTCAGCCTCCCGAGTAGCTGGGACTACAGGCGCCCACAACCGCGCCCGGCTAATTTTTTGTATTTTTAGTAGAGACGGGGTTTCACCGTGGTCTCGATCTCCTGACCTTGTGATCCGCCCGCCTCGGCCTCCCAAAGTGCTGGGATTACAGGCGTGAGCCACCGCGCCCGGCCCAATGGGCCTTTTTTATCCTGGGTTTTTGTTTTTGTTTTTTTTTCATTTGAATATCTTTTTTTCTTTCAAATTGGTGTTTCATTTTCAGTGTTATTTTCCTCTTACTCCTGCATACTGTGTGAGGAGACAATAATCTACAGTACTTCAACATCAGAACTGCAGCAAATTGTGAAAGGAAAATTGGTACCAAATAAGAAGCAACCTCAGGGTGGGGACACTGACTGTACAGGAACTAGGAATCAGATACTTTATCCTTTAAGTCACTGACGCTTTCTCAACTCAGAAGCTTGTGTTTTATTTCAGTAAGAAATATTTGATAGGCTGGGCGTGGTGGCTCACTCCTGCAATCCCAGCACTTTGGGAGGCCAAGGCAGGTAGATCACCTGAGATCAGAAGTTTAAGACCAGCCTAGCCAACATAGTGATACCCTGTCATTACTAAAAATACAAAATAATAATAATAATAACAAATTAGCCGGGCGTGGTGGTGGATGCCTGTAATCCCAACTACTCAGGAGGCTGAAGCAGGAGAATCCCTTGAACCCGGGAGGCAGAGGTTGCAGTGAGCCTAGATCACACCATTGCACTCCACCCTAGGCAACAAGAGCAAGACTCTGTCATTTTTTAAAAAAAAAAAAAAAAAAGGAAATATTTGATTACAAAAATGACAGCATTAAATGTTTTCTTGCCTAGCACAGTAATGATTCCTTTACATTTTGTTGAAATCGAAGGCCTAGGGTAATTCTAAGCATGATTTGTCTCTCATTCAATACCTTAAAAATGAGGCTAATAATGATTATGTAAAATGGGATGTTGTAAAGGTCTAAGGAGATCATGCATAGAAATGCATTTAGTCAAGTCCACTCGTGGTGTGAAACCTAATTACTGGAAGGCCATGTTCCATGTCCTTTGGCTCTGGGATTCTCCCAGAACAGCACCTAAATAGATAACATTGTCTCTAGACAATGCTGTCCAATCAAAAGATTATACAAGTCTTCTACTTTAGCTTCTTGGATAAACAGAATTTTTTAAAAACATAATACAAATCTTAAATGAGAACCACTTCTGTAGTTTTAAATTTTCTAGTAGTCACATTTAAAAAATAAACAGGCAATACTTATTTTATATGATTTTTTAATAATTTCAACTTTTAGCCAGGCAAAATGGGTCATACCTGTAATTCCAGCGCTTTGGGAGGCCGAGGTGGGCAGATCATCTGAGGTCAGGGGTTCGAGACCAGCCTGACCAACATGGTGAAACCCTGTCTCTACTAAAAATACAAAAATTAGCTGGGTGTGGTGGCGCGCGCTTGTAATTTTAGCTACTTGGGAGTCTGAGATAGGAGAATCACTTGAAACCTGGAGGAGGAGTTTGCAGTGAGCCCAGATAGTGCCACTGCACTCTAGCCTGAGACAGAGCAAGACTCTGTCTCAAAATAATAATAACATTAGTAATAATAATTTCAAGTTTTATTTTAGATTCAGGGGGTACATGTCCAGGTTTTTTACATGGGTATATTGCATGATGCTGGGGTTGGGGTGGGATTAATCCCATCACCCAGGTAGTCAGCATAGTATCCAATAGTTAGCTTTTCAAGTCTTTCCCCTTCTTGCCTCCTCCTCTAGTAGTCCCCAGTGTCTATTGTTTCCATCTTTTATGTCCAGTTTTACTAACATATGTAAATCACCTTGCATGTCCAAAATATTGTTTTAACAAGTAATCAATCTTAAAATTATCAGTGAGATATTTTATGTTTAAAAAATGATACTACATCTGGCCAGGCGCGGCAGCTCCTGCCTGTAATCCCAGCACTTTGGGAGGCCGAGAAGGGCAGATGACGTGGTCAGGAGTTTGAGACGAGCCTGGCCAGCACGGTGAAACCCTATCTCTAATTAAACTAAAAAAAAAAAAAAAATTAGCTGGGCATGGTGGCACATGCCTGTAGTCCCAGCTACTCAGGAGGCTGAGGCAGGAGAATGGCTCGAACCCGGCAGGCAGAGGTTGCAGTGAGCCAAGATTGTCCCACTGCGCTCCAGTCTGGGTGACAAAGCGAGACTCCACGAAAAAAAAGAAAATTACATCTTTGAAATCTGGTACATATTTCTCACTTTCAACACATCTTAAGTTGGACTGGGCAGTTTTCAGTACTCAATACCCATTGTGGCTAACGATAACCATATTGGACTGTGCAGATTTAAACATATACTTTACATATTTTTAGGTTTTCAAAATTGAGTATGTATGACAGAGTATGTATGTCTTCAAAATTAAATGTTTAATTTCTCAGAAGAATGCTGTGTTAAATGAGCTCATCCTACAGATTATATGCAAAAAACATGTTGTTGGTAGATAGCCTGAAAATAGCTACAGATACTTAATTATTTAAAATTCTCTCATTTTTATCAGGCAACCTTCTTATTATGAATTCCCAAGAATCCAATAGACGGCCAAGTTTCTCTTGGTGTAACACAACATAAAGATGAAGGAGTTTCTGCAAACTGTGCTAATATTGCTTTTACAGCATCAAAGAGCCAAGATAATCCTTCCCATCATTTACATGCACACACAGACAGAGTTAGGCAGGCAAACACACATGAATACACATCAATTTTGTATATAACAATTTTCTAGTTTCTCCTTCAGTGAAATCTATCACTCGGTGTTTCCTATTTTTGTTCTAGAAATCCCATCAGCCAACTGAAAAGCCAAGTCTGCCACACAACTTGCAATCTGCCAGTTGTTAAAGGCATCAATGTTATTTTATTAACATTGGCAAAGGCTCGTATGTGGGCAAACCAGAATGAGAAAGAGTTAATAGTCACTAGAAATTTGGTGCTGAGAAATGGGTTTTCTTCTCATCTTCTTATATAGTTCAAAGGACACACAATAAGTCCCAAGATTCAAGAACTTCTTAGGAACAAACTTGTTTGTTACAAATATGTTACAAATATCACGAATAGGTTTCTAATTTCCATATCTCAAAGTACACTTTTTAGTCTTTATCCATCCTCCATGTAATGTGTCTACTACTACTAACGCTTACAAATCCCAGGCTGGAGAAGGAGTTAATTGCCTGAATTCTCTATGTAACATCCTCACAAACGTGCCCCACAGATACTTTAAATTTAGTATGAGCCAAACTCATCTCCATCTTCCAATCTTTCTCCCATTCCTAAAAGCTGTTAAAACCTCTCCCCCTTTCTGCACCTGCTTGTGTTTGGCAATACTTTGTTTTTTTAAACCATTCTTCAATCCTGTTTGTATTTATCTTCGGTCTTATTCTCATAATTCAACCCTTCTCTCCATCCCCATAGCTGTTTTTCATTCACGCCTTATGAATCCCCTCCCCTCCCCTCCCCTCCCCTCCCCTCCTCTCTCCTCCCCTCCTCTCTGCCCTGCCCCGCCCCGCCCCGCCCCGCCCCGCCCCGCCCCGCCTCGCCTCGCCCCGCCTCACCTTCTCTCTCTGTTGCCCAGGCTGGAGGGCAGTGGCGCAATCATAGCTCGCTACAACCACCAACTCCTGAGCTCAAGCCATCCTCCCGCCTCAGCCTCTGGAGTACCTGTGAGTACAGGCATAAGACGCCACACCAGCTAGGGACCCTTATGAAAACATGCTAAGTGCATCGCTCTCAGGTTTTCTTCTGATTGTGGCTTTCCTCCACCAAATCTTACCTTTAATATTCCTATTGAGCAAACAACAATTATGAACCGTTTTAGGCAGGAAAAGGCTGAATTTCAATGGCTTCGTGTGGTATCTGGAAGAAATCAAAAGAAACGAAAACCAGAACTTGATTCTTTCCAACCATAATAGTAGGAGACCTGAAGAACTCAATGTCTTGAAGCCACAATGGAAACTTCCTGTAGTTATTACCTGACACTTTTCTAATCTTTTGTTTTTCATTTCAAGTCCTACATAGTATTCTAAAGAATCTGTATCCCCCATTAGTACCAAGTATCTCCTGCTCAGAACGGCTCTCCACACTCCATAATACTGACCACTACTACCAGCATGCTCACGGAGAGTCTCAGGAAATGAAAGTTACCTCCTGGAAATTATTACAAACAGCCCTTTAAGCAAGGGGGTGTAGCTCAGTGGTAGAGCGCATGCTTTGCATGTATGAGGCCTCGGGTTCGATCCCCGACACCTCCAAGTGATGGTTTTGCTCTGGCAGTTCTCAAGCAGCAAATTTCTGCCTTCTCACATTTTTCTATCCTATTTCTGCACAAATAGACAGTAAAAATGTAGCTCAATGCGCAGCCTCGAACTATCTCCACTGGCTATGCCGTGAGCCTCGACATCACCTAAGGCGATTGCGACAGCAGAAGGAAGACAAACAAGAAATGAGGGGGAAACAAGAACAGAATCGCAACAGGGTCTCTGGAAACCAAACAAAAGCGTGCACATTCACAGGCGGCTCGCGTTCGCTCCCATTTTGTACTATGATTAAAGAGACGCCAAGACAAAGGAGAAGAAGGAAGAAAAGCGCTCTGCAGGCATCAATTTTTTTTTTTTTAAAGTTATTTTTGTTTTCTGGGTTAAAGAACAGAGCGAAAGCCTCTGTCCACTGATTTCTCCACCAGTCTCTCCTTGTCGACCTGAGCAGAGAGCGCAGCCACCAGTGTGATCCGGTACTGAGACAAGGACTGCTGTGGCTCTCCAGCCGCTTGAGATTGGAGTGGCAGGACGCTGGACAACCGAACGAAGACTGTAGGGGAATTAGAGGCCTTCAACGTGCGAGGAGCAGAAACCAATACGGATCAACATTCCGTACTGATATTCCATAAGACTAATTTGTATTCCTGTATTTCCTCAGTAGCTCCGTTTTTCTCGTTACAGTAAAATATTGCCCGGGAACTTCTGGTAACAGCAAACGGAGGCCCCATATAAAAAACTAGGAAAAGATTTTCTGTCACAATGGAAAATACATGCAGACTAAAAGGTAAGTAGATCGCAGGTGTGTTCGGCACTTGCTGCCGTGGGAAAAACCAGACAAACATTTCATGTTCTTTCTCGATCCATCAGATTACATCTGCTTTGTTTGGAGAGGGAACTCCCAAGAAATCCTATACACTCATGATAACTTTTAGGGTTTCCGGTGATGTATGATTTCAAAACTGCTGTTCTCTCTGCACGTATTTCCTGTTGAATTAACGTGTCTTTGAGAGGCAAGAGAGTATGACGTTTGTTCCTAGTCCACCAGCCTATCAGGCTGGCATGATAGATACACTCTATGAGGCTGGCTGACATGACCTTACTTGCTTCTTTTGTCCAATGAAAATATCTATAACCGGCATCCAGGAGGGATACCGTCTGGTGAAACCTGCTTAGCTGAGGACTGGCCATGTGTGTGCCTCCAGACCAATCATATGTTTGTTTTGAGATACATTTTTTGGAGGAAGGTAATACACACATGCCATGTATTTTCTTTTTGTTTCATACTTTTTCTTCTTTAATTTCCTGATATCCATTGGTTTTCTGCAGGCAAACGGTGGCATGTTAGCCACAGTGGACACTGCACAGGAGAGCAAGGGGTGGGGGATTTGAGTGCTGCAAGCAGAATAATAAATTTCAGGCCAACCTTAGGTCTGTTGAATCAGAACTGCTGAGTATGGGGCTCAGCCTCCTGTGTTTGAATAAGCCCTCAAGCGACTCTGATGCTAAAGTTTGCGAAGCAATGCTCTAGAAGTTTCGGAAGGTCCCAGGGTCAGGTACCTGCTGAGGAGGAAGAGTTGGTCCTGGGGTTCCCTACCTATTCTCAATCAAAAACTCAAACCTAGGAAAGCCAGTGAGTATTGTATTCATCTTATGTCAGGGCTGGGGTTTCATTTACCATTTCTTTGACCTTTTGAATATTTTAGGTAACTTTTCAGGTCACACACAACAGACTGATTTTCCTCTGGAAGAACTCACAGGAATTCTCTTGAACCAAGAGACTCTTTTGAGCTGAAATACCTGGTGCTTTCTCAAGCTATTTGGGCCCTTCAATTTGAAACCCAAGCTTGGACGATTCTAAGCCCTATGACAGAGAGTAATCATTTTCTCTCCACCTTCAGGGTGGGGACTAACCCTCAGGGTTGGGAGTACTGCTGTCTCTGCAGCCCCCACCAATTCTACCAGTGTTCTGGTTGTTAAAATCCAGTGTATGCATGAAATGTAATAAAAGTATCTTCACAACAGTAAGTAGAGAGTTCCTTGTTGTGAGTAGACCATTCCTCTTCCTCCTTGGAAAAAATTCTCTATCCACTTTCTACATTTTCACGTTTGTCTCTTCCTCTACACACACACCTCAGCTGCTGCTTTATTTCCACTTGTCTCATGTAAGGATCCTCTTTTATGTGGTAACCTTGGCTTTTCCCACTGTTCATGCTTCCACGAGTTGGATGTAAGTAATATAGGAGCACACTGCAAAAGTGTAGGTGATATTGTCCAGAAAGGAACCCGAATTTCAGAGGCTTGCTGATGTAGAAGAAAGCCAAGATATTAGACTCATAGAGCTTCCCTCTGCTGGGTAGGTTGAAATCTGGACACCCTGAATTCCATAAAAACAAGGTAGTACTTCTTCTGAAAACCCTCTTAAGTTTAAAATATACTGGGACTGCCCTACCTTTCTTGTTTTCCATGACTTGTATTCCAAGCTTGACAAGCTAAAACAAAAACAAAAGCAAAGAACACTCTTCCTACCTATAACAAAGGGGCTTAAGCAGGAGGGTTTCTCTTCCTGGTTCAACACTCTTCCCTCGCGAACAGTAGGGATTGGAAATAGGCGGCTTCTCTGTCGTTTCCTCGGAAGCCACCAATACCACCCACCAAAACTCAAGAGTACCCGTGATCCCCAGTGTCCGAGTCAGTAAAGGAGCTGCGAGGCATTCTCAATGCCGCGACTGCCTTAAGCAAAACGAGAGAGATCTTGCGGGAAAGTGTTTTCAGTTCACTTCTACAGGGAATGAGCCCTCTCGCTTATCGCCGACACCGAGGAAATGCAGCGGAGATGGGCTTCCGGGCTGCACTCCGCCTACCGGCCCATCCAGATCCTCTGGCAGCCTCGGGCGCTCGCCCACTTCGCTTCTCCTCCGCCTTTGCCGCCGCCGCCGTAGGTTGCGCATCCCACCGCGTCCCTGCTTCCCTCTCGAGCTCGTTTCGCAGGCGGTACTCGTTCTCTCCATCCGTCGTTTCTTGACTGTCAGAACTGGAGCAATAGCGTCCGCAAAACGAAATCCATGCTGGGTTTCGAGACCACGGTGCTGGCCCAGGCTCTGGCGAGGGTAAGGACTGGCAGCGACCCACGCTCCTGGGTCTTCATTTCTAATAGCTGGGAATTCCACTTTTTTTTTTTTTTTTTTTTGAGACGGAGTCTCGCTCTGTCGCCCAGGCTGGAGTGCAGTGGCCAGATCTCAGCTCACTGCAAGCTCCGCCTCCCGGGTTCACGCCATTCTCCTGCCTCAGCCTCTCGAGTAGTTGGGACTACAGCCGCCCGCCACCGCGCCCGGCTAGTTTTTTGTATTTTTTAGTAGAGACGGGGTTTCACCGTGTTAGCCAGGATGGTCTCGATCTCCTGACCTCGTGATCCGCCCGTCTCGGCCTCCCAAAGTGCTGGGATTACAGGCTTGAGCCACCGCGCCCGGCCGGGAATTCCACTTTCTCACCTCCTCGCCTTCACCTAAATCCCCGGAGGCGGTACTGACCCTTCTGTTTTAGTAACCACCTACGTTAACTCTTGATAGAAGAGTGCAGCCCTTGAAGGAAGAGGGAAAAGAAATTTGAGAAGGGATAATTAAAAAAAAGCTTTTTGTGTGAAATTATTTCAAACCTACAGAAAAGTTGCAAAACTAATACAAAGAACTACCATACACACGTTACTCGGATTTAGCAATTCCCGATATTTTGCCACAATGATTCTCCTCTCTTTACGCCTAAATACATACACACACTATTATTTTTCTCATGGACTTTATTTTTATTTATTTATTGAGACAGGTCTTGCCCTCTTGTCCAGGCTGGAGCGCAGTGGTGCGATCTCGGCTCACTGCAACCTCTGCCTCCGGGTTCAAGCGATTCTCCTATCTCTGCTTCCCAAGTAGCTGGGATTAGAGGCATGCACCACCACTCCAGGCCAGTTTTTGTATTTTTAATAGAGACGGAGCTTCACCATGTTGGCCAGGTGGTTCTGGAACTCCTAACCTCTGGTGATCTGCCCGCCTCGGTCTCCCGAAGTGCTGGGGTTACAGGCGCGAGCTACCCCTGCGCTTCTGTATTCTTTTAAATCATCCCCATCATTCTGGCACAGCAAGATAGGTTCATCTTGTAGTTTTCCTGGCACAGTCCTGGAATCAGTGTAGTTGACAATAGTAGCTACTTTCTATTAGTATCTCTGGTTCCTTTTAGTAGAGAATGGTATTTGAAAATCAAAATATAGAGTTATCTTGCTCATTGTTTCTCAGGTATTTCTTCCAGGCCCAGTTAGCAGACAGATCTGTAGGGAAAATGTGCTTTTTTTTTCTTTTTTTTCTTGAGACAGAGTCTCACTCAGTCGCCCAGGCTGAGTGCAGTGGCGCGATCTTGGCTCGCTGCAACGTCCTCCTCCCAAATTCAAGCGATTATCCTGCCTCATCCTCCCGAATAGCTGGGACTACAGGTGCGGCCCCCACACCCGGCAAAGTTTTGTATTTTTAGTAGATACGGGGTTTTGCCATGTTGGCCAGGCTGTTCTCGATTTCTGACCTGAAAGAAGTGATCCACACGTCTCAGCCTCCCGAAGTGTTGAGATTACTAGCGCGAGCCACTGCGCCCGGCTATGTATAATTTCATACTGATGCCTCCAATTCCCATCAACACCAACAGGACTGTTCTTTACCTTCTTTTTCTTACAGTGACAGCCTGTTTCCAACAACACACACTCTCACACACTCATTTTCCCAATCCTAAAATTCACACAAAATCTCAGAATTCCTACAGCTTTAGCTCTACAAAAAATAACCCTCATACATAGAGTTTAAGATTTCTTTCCTCTTCTTTTTGTGCTTACAATTAAATAACGAACTGTGTAAAGCGTTTTCTTAAATCAGTTATTTCAATGGGATAATGTATTGTTTCACAATGCAGTTTTAATTTGCGTCTATTTGTATTGAATTTTAGGGTGTTTTCACACGCACTTGAGTCAGTTTTATTTTATGACTTTGTGAGACTAACATGCTTCCAAGAGTCAAAAGAATACAGAATATTATAATCAGAAAATTTGCAAGAGAATGTTGTATGCCAGGACACACTCAAATAACTGAATGGAAGTATGCTCCAGGAAATCTAACGCGATGGGGAGACCACCTTGGGGTGAGTTGATCTTGGGCTGACCACAAATCAGGAACAGTGCCTTTATTTGTACTGTTAAGCTGCCTTTCGTTTGGTGTAGCGGGCCCTAAGACAGGAAACGCTTCTTGTAAGAAATTAAGAGTGGAATTGGAAACATAAAATTGTCAAGACAGAGCCCAGACTCAGACAGTAATAGTCATGAAAGTATTCTCTGACAACAAAACGTGGCGGAGGGGGCATAGCTCAGTGGTAGAGCGCGTGCTTAGCATGCACGAGGTCCTGGGTTCAACTCCCAGTACCTCCACGTCTTTTTTTTCTCCCCCGGGCACCAGTAAGAAGCGGTCCATGATATTCCCCAACTTTAAAATTTTCTCTGTCAAGGTGAATTGTGTTGACATTTATCTCTCATACACAGAGGTGACTCATGTTTATTCCTTTGAATCTATTTGCTGCTTAGGGTTATCCACTTATATTTTCTAAGCAGTCCACCAGTTACTAACATGGACCACGCACGAGGGAAGCAAGTAGTATTCCTGGCCATGCAGCCGATTTCTAGTTGTAAATGAAATAATCAGGAACCATAGAACTGTGCGGCCCAAGTCTGATTTCAGATCGGAAGCTAAAAGCCTCAAGTCCTTTTCTGTTTCTTCTTCTAACTCCCTCTAACTAGGTTGCAGAAGCCCTACAAGCTTTCACTAAACGATTACACGGCCGGTGTTTGACCACCAGCAGGTGGTCACTTTCCATTAGAGACTCCCATAGTTTGAAACTTAGACTATTTAACTACAAACACAGGGCAAATGATGAAAAGATAGTCAGTCACCTCAGCTGAAATTTGGTGGAAGTAAAAAGTACTTCTCTGGGTCCTCTGAGGAAGTTTCTGGTCTGAGATGCAAACACTCTGAACTCCAGGAACCAAGATCAGTATAGGAGAAAGCTCATTTTGTTGTTTTTCATACATAAAAGTAATGAACGTTTATTCTCCCAAGCCCAACGGATCCTTTTCTACCTCATTGTACTTACTCTCCGGAAATAATCTCCTTCTAAGCTAGGGAACAACCCATATCTCCAGATTAGAGCTCTTTTTAGAGTTTCGGATTCTGGCATTACAGTACTAAGCAGAAATCCACAGGGAAATACTCTGCAAGTATGTTAATACTAACTTGTTAAAAGAAAATCTGCTTTTATTTTCAGCTTTATTTCATGCCAACAAAGGGGAAAAAAAATAAGTCACTAAACACCCAGAAGGCAGAAAAGCGACCTCTCTCCATCTGCGGGAGCCAAGCAAGCGTGTCTGCTTCTGTATGCATCCTTTCTTTTACTCACTTTCTAAACGCTGTAACGGTCCACCATCTACCAGGGGGTCACAAGTCATCGCTAAACTCAATCTGAGGTCAGCCCACTCGACTTGTGAAGGGTTCACTTATATTGCCTCAGCACCTGTAATAGGACTAAGAAGACGGTGGCTGCACACTTAGTTAACACTGGTTGTACCGCGACTTCGCCCTGTTGCAACCGCTGTGCAGCTCTGCAGAGTCCTGAGCCAAGAGCTGGACGTGAGGAGTAAAGGAGCTCGTTGCAAACGCCAGGAAGAATTTCTTTAGGGTGAAGTTGGCTTTCTATTGGCTTTATTCTAGGAGATATATGTGGAACAAACAAACGGAAACTTTCTTTCTCATCTTTTGCATTTCAAGCAAAAACTAGTAAAATTAGGTGTTTCCACTGTCATGCAAGCTGCCGGCAGATCCCACTTCTAACTCTCAACACAGGCACTCAGGAAGTCGGGAAATCCCTGCAACTCCCTCAGAAGCTACAGTATCAGCGGTTCCTGAAGCGCAAACCAAAACCCAACATCACTCCAAAGAGCTCAGCCGGTCTGTTGAGCGACGGAAATAGCGGAGAGGCGCTCGTGAAGCCGTGACAGCCTGGGCAAAACGAACCAGGTTTCCTTCCTGGTCGAGCCTACCTCCCTAGGGACACCTCCCTTCCCTCACGGCCAGAGGAAGCGACGGAGAAATGTGGCGCTTAGATTCACTCTACGATCCCGTCCATCCAAATCCGAACCATCTTAAGGATGTTTTTCCTTGCCTTCTATCTCTCTCCCTTTTGTGTTTTTCTTCCTCCACTTCACGGCACCCCACCTTTTCCCTCTCTCCGCCATTTGGCGCTCGGCTCCTCTTCACCTTCCCTACCCTTTACTTCTGAACGAACTTTTCACAATAGTGCAGAGCAGTCCTAGAACCATTTACACATATTTTAAGCAGTTTTGAGATTTATATGTAGCTGCTGTTTATATTTCCGCATCACTTTCCACTATTTTCCTCTCTATATGTTCAACTTTAAACATTTCTGCAGCATGGGCTAAGGCTGAACCTAGCTGGGAAGAGACCTGAGGCGGCAGGGATAAACCTAGCGGAATGTTGTTTCCTGTCTGAGAAGACTCGGACCTTACACGCGGGAGGAAAAAACAAAGCGTGTAAGAGAACATACTTTTTAAAAAATTTTATTTATTTATTTTTTAGGAAATCATCCAATCATCTAAAAAAAATTTTTTTTTTTTTTTTGGAACGAAGCTTCGCTCTTGTTGCCAGGTTGGAGCGCAGTGGCACAATCTCGGGTCACTGCAAACTCTGCCTCCCGGGTTCAAGCGATTCTCCTGCCTCAGCCTTCTGAGTAGCTGGGATTATAGGCGCCTGCCACCACGCCCGGCTAATTTTTGAATATTTAGTAGAGACAGGGTTTCACCATGTTGACCAGGCCGGTCTTGAACTTCTGACCTCAGGTGATCTACCCGCCTCGGTCTCAAGTGCTGGGATTACAGGCGTGAGCCACCACGCCCGGCCTTAATATCGACCCTTCCATCAAATTTTGGCTAAAACTGAAAGCCTCGACTCTTTCAGAACAGGAGACTCAGTTTGAAAACTGTCCAGACATAGAGAGGGTTTTATTAAAATTCAGTTTGCAAGTAATTATTGGCCACAGCAATTCTTTCATTCCAGAGAGAATTGTTTCTGAAATTCTGTAAACGTCTTAAATTGTTTTTAAGTTATTTAGCAAGAGGATTCCAATATCTTGACACTTTCGAATTGATATAAAATTTCTAGGCTGAGGTGGGGGAACTGATTGAGGCAGCAGGTGAAAGTTGCAGTGAGAGGAGATTGCCACTGCACTCCAGTCTGGTAGAGTGGGACACTGTCAAAACAAAAATAAATAAAATCTCATGATCACAGATGTGTATGTAAAAAGCTTTTTTTTTTTTTTTTTTTTTTTTGAGACGGAGTCTTGCTTTGTTGCCCAGGCTGGAGTGTAGTGGTGTGATCTCGGCTCACTGCAACCTCCGTCTCCTGGATTCAAGCAATTCCTTAGCGGGACTACAGGGGCGCGCCTCGACACCGGTCTAGTTTTTGTGTTTTCAGTAGAGACAACATGGGGTTTCACCATGTTGGAAAGGCTAGTCTCGAACTCCTGACCTCAGGTGATCTGCCCGCCTTGGCCTCCCAAAGTGCTGGGATTACAGGCGTGAGCCACAGCACCCAGGCGGAAAAAACAATACTTACGCATCAATGTGCAGACCACAATTCTTTGAACCCTAAGGCATAGGCCAGGAACGGTGGCTCACACCTGTAATCCTAGCGCTTTGCGAGGCCGAGGCGAGACCAGACTGACCAACAAGGTGAAACCTCGTCTCTACTAATAATACAAAAAACTTAGCTGGGCGTGGTGGCGCGCGCCTGTAATCCCGCCTACTGGAAGAGACTGAGTCGGGAGAATCGCTTGAACCTGGAAGATGGAGGTTGCAGTGAGTTCAGATCGCGCCACTGCACTCTAGCCCGGGCGACAGAGCGAGACTCCGTCTCAAAACAAAGAAACAAAGAAACAAACATATTATACTTTCCATTTTCACTCCCTAGGTCTCCGTGCCAACCAAGGTGGATGTGTGAGCACAAGACCGGTAAAAGCAAGAAAATAGAAAAAAAGAACTGCCTCGCTCAGGATGTCTTTTTTCGGAAGCTATAAGCCCACTACCATGTTAACGTGTCCAATAATTCCTTTATGCCTTGTCACTGAAGAGCAAGTCAGAAAAAGAAAAGCCGAAAAAAGAGAAAAGTAGGCCGGGCGCGGTGGCTCACGCCTGCAATCCCAGCACTTTGGCAGCCCGAGGGGGCGGATCACGAGGTCAGGAGATCGAGACCATCCTGGCTAATACGGTGAAAATACAAAAAATTAGCCAGGCGTGGTGGTGGGCGCCTATAGTCCCAGCTACTCGGGAGGCTGACGCAGAAAAATGGCATGAACCCGGGAGGCGGAGCTTGCAGTAAGCCGAGATCGCGCCACTGCACTCCAGCCTGGGGGACAGAGCGAGACTCCGTCCCAAAAATAAATAAATAAATAAATAAATAAAATAAAATAAAATAAAAAATAAAAAAAAGTAAAAGCCGAGATAATTTCATTTTGAATTCCTTAGTTTTCTGAGGAGTGTTTTACACGGTGACCAAGCATGGGAATATCTTCCTGATGACCAATTCCTCGCCTTTTCTTTCCCGTCTTTTGCTGGGGAAAATTGGATCCTATTTCACACATAAATTGCAGCAGAACTTATATTTTTGGGGTGTAGGGAAGGTGAGTGAATGACCGGTGATATTGAAGACAACAGAATTAGGCACTGGAAGATACACTGACCTTACAAATGGCAGTTTCTGTATTTTGAAGAAATGACAAAACGAATTTGTCCGGAGCGGCCGAAATAGCTCAGTTGGGAGAGCGTTAGACTGAAGATCTAAAGGTCCCTGGTTCAATCCCGGGTTTCGGCAGATGCCTTTTGGTGTTAGCATGTCATTCCCTTAACACAGCACTTGCTCACCAAATCCCAGAGGTCTATATATAACTCCACTTCTTTTTTATGTTTTCTGAAAATTCCATAAAGGTAATGTACATAGATATATATATTTGTAACACTCCACTGAAGACTTCCATGAGGTGTTAACTGACAGGACGTAAATTATTTAAAGCCTTAAACCTAGGAAGTTATTACTTTTAAAACCTAAGAAATTCCAATATGCTGTATGCTGTGGCACTTACAATTCATTTCTCACTTGATGTTATTTATGTGTGTTGGATGGAGGTGTTTTAAATCACAAGAAATGTGAAGAAACCTGTAGAAGAAGAACTATTATACTGTATGAGTGCATATATGTGGTGGTGGTATATTCAAGAAACATTTTGCAATTAGAAAAACGTGGGTTTGTACCTTGAGTCAACTCCATAGCTCTGCAGTTAAACTGCTGGAAAAATAACTTTTGTTTT